CTAAAATTGAGAGGGTTTCCTCTGAAATAGCAACTTCCTGGTCGGTAGGCAAAATTTTATCGGGATCTACTGCTGCAGTTATGTCAGCTGACACATCAGTACCAGCCGGTACTGGAGTGGGCGCATCTGCTAAAGTGACTTCAGGGGCCATAACCACCGATTTAATTCGTTCAGTATAATCATCCTCGTCCTGCGACGGGTAGTCTTCTAAAGGATATTCATACTCATTATCTGTTTGTGGGAGGTATGAGTCTCCAACTCCGGTTTCTAAGGCGTGAAAAAAGCAAAACTGAAGATCTTGCCAAAGGTATCATAGCCTGTTTTATTAACTTTCGGGATGATATCTCGTATCACCACATTAGGAAAGTCAGTAAATATATTTCCGGATGGCATCTCGTACCACCACTGAGGAAATATGAAAGTAGATCACAGTATATGTAATCATAAAAATAATAGTCATTTCCGGATGACATCTCGTGCCACCACTGAGGAATGATCAGTACGGGTATGATTTTAAATTTCATTAAGCAGATAACAAAGTTAGTTGTACAATAATAATATTGTTAATAACTTATTATTACACACTTATTGGAAGTGAGTCTTGTATAACTTACATTATGATTGTGCGTAGTCAGCATCAATTCGTAGTGCATAATTTTATAAATACTTTTATTTATCATTCATTATTATTTAGAATGTTTTATGTATGCCCATAAATTACGTACTCAAGTAATTTAAAGAGGAATAAAATTCCATTTACAAGTACGTAGATATATTTTTACTACGTGGGTAGATGAATTATTGGGTAACTGGTTAGAAAAAACCAAGTACCTAACAGCTTATCATGATATGAAATCCATGTATACAGACTGAAATATGACGTTTAAAAGGAGCAATAAGGTCATAAAACTCACCATCCAATCCATTGTTATTTTCATCACTGCCCGGTGAATATTGACGTCGCGACCGTTCAACTTCCTTTTTCAAATTTTCTTATTTTACGCATTAACACATCGGTACTTTTATTTTGCTTACGTATTTCTTCCATTATGAGTAAAACGATAGTATAATAACTTATAGATCGTGTAACTATCCTAATCGTATTAATTTATTTTAAGACCGTGTAGTTGATGCGGCACACAAAACACGAATGAGAACTAGGGATGGCATCGGCCCGGATGTCAAGTCAGTGTAACTCCTTTTTATTTTACTTTTTCTTAATATCTTGTATTTTCTTTATAAAAATAAAATCTAAACTGTGTGCTGATGCGGTATATAAGACAACGGACTACATGGTATACTTAAATCTTGAGGATGCAACATTGAAGTATAATTATAAATGTTAAACTGGATTTCTTAATTCATGGCGTCTTAACTGTAACGCAACTTAGAATGGCAAACAAGCTACAGAGTACTGTTTCGCCCAGGATACCCCTAAAGCGTTGTCATTCCTGAGGACTCAGATGTTATTCCTCTGTACCTTGTAAATTAACTGTTCAATAAATTATTATAAAATTTGCCGTATATGTAGTATTTGTAATAAAGATGGTTATAATCTACTTTCATCTACGAGTAAATTGGTTAATATATCCCCGATAATACAATGAAAACCGCGGGTAAATAACTAGTAGTTAATTTATAAGATCTAGTAATTATTCCTACGAATCTATCTGTAATCAAATTATTGAAGTTTAATATAAACTTAACACCTTTAAGCGTATACACGTTTATATGCTATAATTAATTCCTTATAATTGCTTATAATTAATATCTCAAACAAGTTTAAATACGTAGGTAAATCAGCGTCAAAACTCTATTAGCCCGTTGGTTATATAATTAATTTCTAGACTTAAAAATCAATATAATTGGAAATCTGTACCTACTAAAATATAGATATTTCTTCGAAATATTTTAAATCGGTGTAATTCTATTAAGTTAAATAAGTACCATGGTTTTATATTAAATAGTAAAAAACATGTAGTTTTATGTTTGAATTAATTAAAAAATTAATCACATTTGAATTAAAAATTGCAAAATAAATTCATTATAAATAAATATAATTTTATTGAACTTCTAATTCAATATACGGTTTTTAGCCAATTTAATATTTAACACAAATAAGTGATCTCGACAAAAGGTACAAGCAGATTTTGATTCACGAAGAAAAATACACCGACGTCGATAATGGCAAAACAAGATATTTTGATTCACAAATCAAACTATTAAATCGATTTTGATGGAGTTTTTACGTCACTATTCTATCATCATATCAGCCTTTAACTGTCCACTGCTGAACATAAGTCTCCACTTGTAGGGTTTTGCCAGTAGTTGCTACGCTTTGCATGCGGATTGGCAACCGCAGTTAGGCTTTGGAAATGTTTTAAGAGAGACGCTGCTACCAATCCCTTGGCTTCCCTTAGTCGTATGTTACGACACCTAGGAAAAGAAGGGGTGGCCTACTCTATACAAAGACCTTACAGCTAACTATTGTATATAACATTTCAAATTAAAGAATAATTTTTCAAATAGAACCGATTTGAAAACCTCTTTTATTAAGTCGATTAAAAAACTAGACTACATTATGGCTGTTTTACTTTGTAAACGGTGAATCCTAAAATGGAACGCTAAAAATTCAACGTGTAACGAAACGGCTATAAAAAAAAAACGAAATCCAGCATAAATTATTCATGAAACTGAATAACTTTTTTAAAAGAAGATAAGTCTAAATCCAACTAAAGCCTACTAATATTATAAATGTAAAAGTTTGTACTTTAACTCCTTTATCCATAAAAACGTCAAACTTGACATAACCCTATTTTAGTTATTGAACAATTTTGTCTCTTTTTTACACTAATTGGAAAATTCCTAATTGGAAGGAAAGTGACAAAACAGTATAATAGTTAAAATAGGTTTGTAAAAGTTTCTAATTTTTTGAGTATGGCGGTAGTATTTTACTATTTTAGTAGATTATTAAGCTAGTTTGTAGGTCATCTGCTTGGGTACCTCTGTCCAATTCATGTTTCTTCCGTAAAGCAATTGTTTGCATAGCTGTTTCAGTTAGAAAGGTGGGATATAGCTGTGCTTCAGTTACAAGGGTGGAGATATGGTAATGAAATTATAGGCTGCCACCTTAGTACTCAGGAACAGCAACGCATGGAAGATATCATAGGGGGCACAGTATACTCTATTATGTCCATTATACTGTTCATATCTATAGGCAAGAGTTACTACTTTCCATCAGATGAGTCGTCAACTTGTGTGCCATTCTAAGTGGCATAATTTTTTTTATGCAACTTAGAATGGCAAACAAGCTACGGAGTACTGTTTCTCCCATGCGTTGTTATTTCTGAGGACTCAGGTGTTATTCCTCTGTACCCTGTAAATTCACTGCCGTATCCCACCCATCAAACTAAAACTCAGCCATGCAAACACAACTGCTTCACGATAGAAACACGAATGGGACAGAGGTGCCCAAATAAACGACTTTTGTACAAAGTCTCCCTCTAGTAAAAAATACTCAATCATAACTAAATAACTAAATGAATTTGAATTAAATTTGGTATACTGGTATTTATTTATATCCTAATTTAGAACAGTATATTTTATATCCTATTTTAAGCGGACGAAGCCGCAGGATACTAGTATAGTTAGTATGAAAATATTTTTAATCCAATATGGAAAGGTAAAAATATTCAATCTATTTAGGTTTCATAGGCAAATGTTATTTTTTGAATGGATGAAATGAAATCGCCTGCGCTAATCCTTTTACATTCAAACAGTACGTCTATACCAAACTGGATGACAATTGGTTAAGCCGATAATACGCCAAGAGATAACAAACGAACAAATAAACAAACTTACTTTCACATTATATTTATGTATTTTTTATTACATAAAAAAACTTTGTACAAGTGGTGAACTTAATGCCATATGGCATTCACTACCAGCTAACAATTAGGTAAAGACAGAAAGCGTATGTAAACTGGAGTTAACGGTTGGAAAAAGAAGACGAAAGTGTATTTGTTATTCTACCAATTGCCAACAATAAAGAAAATCAACACAATTATTGTTCATATTGTGACATACAATTAAAATTTTTGGAATTCATACAAAACTATGGAGTTTTCAATTATAACAACATTGTTAATATTTTATTAATTTTACACACAACATTTTAAGCGAATACATATTTTCATTAAAACTCTGAAACGGTGCCTTAATGAAATAACTAGAGAAAGTTGTTCGTTTACAACAGATGTATGTAGTTAAAAATAAACAAATTAATTAATTAATGCCAGAAATGAAATCTCACGAAGATAAAATTATTAATGAAGTAATTATAAATACTTGGCAATTTACTAAATTTAATAATATTTATAGAGTCAGCTATATATACGTATATAATTCTAAAAGGGTCTATCTATAATTGACCGAATGCTACCATTTATCACTTATTATATATCCTTTCTTTCCTCGTGGGTGTCCTAAGAGGCGACTGAGGGAACTTACCTAATCGTCTAAGAGATAGGCAGCAGCGTCCCTCTTAAAACATCATTAAAGCATAACTGCGATTGCAACCCGCCTGCCAAGCGTGGCAACTACTAACAATACCCCCCAAAGGGGGTTGTTCAACATTGGGCAGTACACCTAATATCATCACCATCATCATCATATTTGGAGAATGCTTTCTCCCACGAACACTCAGGTTATGGAATGAGCTCCCTGCCGAGGTTTTCCCAAGAGACTACAGCATGGGGTTCTTCAAAAGGCCCCCCCCCCCCTTTAAAGGGGTTTCTTCAGGGTCGGCAACGCGCGCGTAATACCTCTGGTATTGCAGGTGTTCATAGGCTACGGTAACCGCTTACCATCAGGTGGGCCGTATGCTTGTTTGCCACCTCAGTGGTATAAAAAAAAAAAGAATGTTTTGTGATAATTTTAACAAACCTTATTTATCTTCTCATGAAGTTCTATTAAAAGAGACTATATAGTAAAGTCCTCACCTGCTTCAACTCCTTCCTTATTGCTCGGGTCACGTCGATGCTCTTCTTCTGCAATCGCTTGATGGCCACTATGTTGCCTCGATACAGAGCGATGGTGGTGTGAGCTCGCCGCGTGTCCACGTCTTGAGGCATTGACGTCTGCAATCATTTTGTCTTATAAGTCTTTTTTTTATACAACTTAAAATGGCAAACAACCTGACGGCCCACCTGATGGAAAGTGGTAACCGTCGCCTATAGACATGAGCAGTACCATGGACATAACAGATACTGTTTCACCTATGATACCCCTCATGCGTTGTCATTCCTGAGGACTCAGGTGTTATTCCTCCGTACCCAGTAAATTCACGCCATATCCCACCCTTCAAACCGAAACACAGTCATGCAAACACAACTGCTTTACGGTTGAAACACGAATGGGACAGAGGTACCCAAGCAATCGACTTTTGTACAGAGTCTCTCTCTGGTAAAGTCCTCAGAATCAGTAAGCATACGAGAAATTATGAAATTATTTATAAAAATAAACCATCTAAACTAAACTAACAACTCCGATCTTATCCTTCCTACCTAAATCTATCCTGAACCTAATAATATTTTAGATTTCATTATAATTATATTATATTTAATTATATTTAAAATAGTAATTACATTATTTTTTATATTCAAAAGTTATTACAGAAAGTTACGTGGCACACATTTTTTTTCAAGAAAAAAAAAGCGCGTAGTTCTGTATTCTTGCAAGCAATTCAATTAAAAATTCTCCAGTTAATATAAATAATATCAATTAATTAATATCCAAGTTATCAATTAAAATAATTGCATAAGATAAATGTAATTATGAATCATAAGACATCCTTTTGAGTATAGACGTAAAATTTTTAACACATTCATTTTTCAACCTAATCATACAAAATACATTTCCCCATTTACAAGTAATAACAATACATTCTAGTATTGTTATTCCTATTATTTGGTCGCCTTTTTAGGCAGACATTAATAAAAAAATTGGCTTGGTGTTGGCAAAACGTTTGTATTGGGGGGAAGGGATGGATAGTACCTAATAGGGAGGTTAGTCGTTATTGCTATCAATATACCCAATCAGGTCGACCTCCACACGGTTCCCCTGGAAACTATCGTGACTAATGTATCGTTGAATTCGTCACGATGAGCTAACTGATCTGCCTTTTCATCTTCACCTATCACCTCTCACTGGTGCCCTGCCAGTGTATACCAATAGCGTGAGTAGGGTTACCATTTCATTATCATCCACTAAAAAAAAAGCGTTTGTATTTTTTCTTTTGGTGGATGAAAATGGAACGGTAACCCCGCCTGCGCTAACGGGATACGCTGGCAGAGCACCAGTGAAGGGTGATCGATGAGAATGAAACCAGGCCAGTTAGCCCATCATGATGAATTTATCAGGAACTGACCATGATAGTTTCCAGGGGGAACCGCGAGGAGGTCGACCTGGGTGGGTATATTGCTGGCAATGGGATTTTTAGTCTCCAATATTAACAATCCCTTTCCCCCCAAACGTTTGTATTGAAACGCTCCATCTTAACGTATATTGCACATGACTGTCTAGAGGTTATATCACCTCGGTTACGTCGCAAAATGCCTCACCACAAACAAGTGTTAATTACATAGTGAACTTGATTGCAATTACGTTGCCACTTCAGCGAGATGTAGCCTTTTAGTTCTATTTTTGTTTTTTTTTTTTTTTTTTTTTTTTTTTTTTGAACTTAGAATGGCAAACAAGCTGACGGCCCACCTGATGGAAAGTGGTAACCGTCGCCTATAGACATGAGCAGTACCATGGACATAACAGAGTATACTGTTTCGCCCATGATACCCCCCATGCGTTGCCATTCCTGAGGACTCAGGTGTTATTCCTCTGTACCCAGTAAATTCACGCCATATCCCACCCTTCAAACCGAAACACAGCCATGCAAACACAACTGCTTCACGGTTGAAACACGAATGGGACAGAGGTACCCAAGCAATCGACTTTTGTACAAAGTCTCCCTCTGGTGGTTTACTTTATGGTGGAATTTACTTCGCCTTAGTGTATTTTGTGGTCTAAGTGCAGTTTATGTAGGGTACTACATATCTACTTGAGTTTAATTTAGCTCTCAGTTTACCGCCTTTCGAACGACTTTTATAAATGAGGTTAGAAAATAAATTTCTTTCTTATGTATACGATGACGAGATAACGTTGTTTATTTCTACACCGATTTCAAAATCTGTTTGTAATCTATAGGATTTATTTCCATGTATGTCCCATACAAATTTTAGCCCGTTTCATATTATTTCCTGTAAATCGTTTGACAACGTAAATCAAGATACAATACATATTTACAGAAATTCTTTGTATTAAAATATAGGTACATATTAGAGAGACAGAGCATTATAAAAATGAGGATGACCCCGTGGTTTTCAATATCCTCTGTCAGCTCGACCTCTACGCAGACTCTCTTGGAATCCATCGTAATTAATTCCTAGTAAAGCAATCACAATTAGCCAACTGACCTGAATCATTCTCTCCCACCGATTCTTTATAGCCCGCCAGAATATACATAGATATATCCGATTTAGACGGAGCGGTGACATTTGAACTATATATATAATTAATCATAAATAAATATAATAAAGATTTGTTGCATATAAAAATATTATACAATATTGATAATCAAAGATTGCATCCCACAAAAAAATCTAACTTCAATTATGACAAAACCAATTATTTTAATATAAAAACTAAACTGCTGAACCGATTTTAATAAAATTTCTATGAGATCCATCTATAAGTATATCTTTTCAGATGGAAAAATATTTTTCAAATCTATTTATAACCAAAGAAGTTATGAAGTAACAAACATAATAAAAAAATATATAACCGTATTAAAAATCTCACTTTTTAAGCCGGTTTTATATATATATAAATATATATTTAACCGACTTAAAAATAATGTAAATATATGTAATATTAATTGTAACTTTCCAACAGAACAAACAACCCTTATTAATTTATTTAATTAAATCATCTACTTTGATTCACTGACGAAAGATCTCTTAAACGGGCTTTCGGAAAATCCATTACGTGTTTTGTTCTAATATTTTACAAGCAACTACCCTGTTTACATCTCCATTCCGTGTTTCGGCTATTATCTGCAGATTCGTTGGTTCCAGCTTACCGCAATTAACTTTTGCAATACTGTCTTTCATTATAGTAAGTAATGTTTCGAATGTTCTCACTAAATTCTGATTTGCGATCAAATAGGGAATAAATTTTATATATGACTAGCTGACTCGGTAAACGTTGTTTTACCATATACATTATTTCGAGAACTAAACATGAAAATTTCTCGTTCCACAATTATTATATTCGATTGCCATCTTGAAACCCTATTGCGGAATATAAAAATCGCGCTTAAAAAACAGGGGTTGATCGTAAAAGGGTGAAAATTTTAAATTGTATGTATTTTTCAATGATAAATCATATTTAAATGAAAAAAAAATTTAAAAAAAATTTTTAGGGGTGGGTAACCCTTATCATTGAGGGATATAAAAAATAGATGTTGAACGATTCTCAGACCTACCGAATATGCACACAAAATTTCATGAAAATCGGTAAAGCTGTTTCGGAGGAATTTGGTAACAAACACGGTGACACGAGAATTAGATATATTTATTTTCTCACTACTCGTACGGTAACCGTTTACTAATTGCCTGAACAAAATTTAATTCTTCGACCTTAAACTCTTAATTTCAAGTCTTCTAAAGCAATTCCAAGAATGCGATATTGTCACCTGTCTGAGTTTAATTGACTGTCCACTTAGAGAATAGATCTTGCACTACAAAATCAGCGAAGCGCATGGTAGACAGTGCAATATCAAGTCTTGGAACTCAGATGACTTTACGCGCAGTTAGATAAAGATTTCTCATCAGTGAACCGTAATAATTTCTTTGTCTATGCTCTCTTTGTCTATATCTAAAATTTGAACGCTGTGTGTTCTAGAACACAAAAATAACGATGTTAATGTAGATAAAGTAAAATTTAAATTTAATTCGTGGAAGTAATAAACTTATTATTTGATTTTTGTAGGTATTTATATCTTTTGAGTCACTCAAATACTCGAAATATTCGATTATTATACACTCAAATATTCGATACTTTTAAAAATATATCCTCCTTCGTCATAATCATCCGGAAATTGTTTACTGTTGTATAGATATTATAGGAAAACTGGCGTAAGGAACAGTTCTAAAACAACTTTATCCGCTGATTCCCCGTAATATATCTAAAGTTTGACAATTCGAAGAATCGCTCCATGTAATGAAAGATCGTTCTGCACTGCGTATATTTTTTTTTTATAACACATAAAGCAAACAAGCATGCGTTTCACGGTTGATGGTAAATGACTACCGCTACCTATGAGCACTTAATACATCGGAGAAAGGTATGTTGCTGGCTTTTTAAAAAGGAATATGCTCTCTTCTCGAAGATTTCGATGTCGTATCGACCCGGAAATACCGTTGCTGGGAGTTAATTCCAAATTATGGTTGTGGGTGGAAGAAACTGCCTTGATAAGCATACAGTAGAAGACTGCCACTTATTTGTACGGGATAGCAACCCAAGAACGTTTATCTATTGCTCATTAATAGAGTTATTACGACCAGTTCATAACCATTTCAGCCAGCTGATTCTTTAGGTCTTTTCCTTTGTGATTTTGGTCTTTGAAGTTTCACGCATCAAAATTCCAAGCATAGCCTTCTTGCAAGTCGCTCGCTGAGTGACTTAGACTTCTTCATAAAATGTAATTATTTTTAACTAGCTTTTAGCCCTCGACTTCGTCCGAATAACCCAGACTTGTACATTGATCAGAATAAAAAGTAACCTATGTTCTTTATTTCAAATACTGAATGTATATCAAACTTCATAGTGTTTTGATTTAGGCGCTAACAAATAAACCAACTCACTTTTACACTTATAATATTAGTACGGATTAATTAGGATTTTTTCTAAAAAAATATTTTTTGGTATAATTTTTTAAATGATATGATACAATGATAAAATATTTTAAAATTATTCTACCTTCCCAAAATAGCAATCTCTTTTTAACTTAGTCTTAACAAAGTTTATGTATAAATTATTTTCACTGAAACGGTAAATGATGAAATATTAACAATCTTTATCCTTTCTAGATGTTTCCATTAAGCGTGTACACTGTTAGAGAGTGACATTGACAATATTGTCAACAAATTCAAGGCTCGTAACTCGTTAATATTAAAAAAAAATTAAATTGTTTTTTATCAAAGTTTTACAGTATATTTAGATATCTATTAATTTACTTTGTATTATGTCTACATAATATTTTATTCTTTTATTATTTATATAAATTATATATATTATATAAATTATATATATATATATATATATATATATATATATATATTATTGTGAATTTGTGACATTTTAACCGACTTCAAAAAGAAGCAGCTTCTCAATTCGGTTATATATTTTTAGTGTGTTTGTTAGTTCATAACTCCGTCCATTGTAAACCGATTCAGGAAATTCTTACAAATATACTTACTGATTGAACCCATAGAAATTTTAGCAAAATCTGTACTTCAGTTTTTAATTTCTAAATAATTGGTTTTATCATAATTGGTTAATGTCGGGTTTTTTTAGAACCCAATGTTAATTATTCTATGTATTTATTAAATTTAAAATAACTTTCAGTACATTGTTTAATTGGTAAACTTAACGCTTAATAGGACCCTTTCATTGTCAAATTATAAAAAAAAAATCTCAAAAAAAAAAAACATTTTTTTTTATATTCTTAAACCTTACATACGGATGCCAAAAATAAGCGTCTTGTGTATGTATGTGGGTATTGTTATTCCACCATAATTTCTAAATAGCTGAACGAATTTAAAAGTATCGGGTATGGTTAGAATCTTTACATCATTCTGTGTAAGTGATGCTGGCTACATTTTTTCAGAAAAACGGTATATTTTTAAATGTCTCACCTTATTTGTGTTGCATGGAGATATAAAAGTTAGATCCTTGGCTTCGATCCTCCACAGCACTGACGCTAACTTCTGCTCGTATCTATAATGTCTAAACAAGAGTGCAGCAGCCAATATAGCCGCTGCAGCGGCGGCGGCAGCCGCTGACAGCACTCCAGGGTCGTGGGGTAACGAGCACTTGGAGCCATTGAAGCCGCAAGCTGGTTCCGCTACAGGCGGGCTTCCACCGATCCAAGCTATTCTGTGACCACCCACCAGTTCCTGTTTGATGAACGGAAAATCTACAGATATTAATTTTAATTCGTGTTTTATGATTTATGATTTTTTTATACAACTTAGAATGGCAAACAAGCTGACGGAAAGTGGTAATCGTCGCCTACAGACATGAGCAATACCATGGACATAACAGAGTATACTGTTTCGCCCATGATACCCCCCATGCGTTGCCATTCCTGAGGACTCAGGTGTTATTCCTCTGATCATCAGATTGTCGATAAGACCTTGTTTTTAACAGAAAGGTCGCCATTTGTAATTGTACATTTTGTGTCAATATTCTATATATATATTTATGTATGTTTTCTTTTATGAGCAATAAATGTTTTGTAACATTTTATTGCCATATTTGAATATAAAAGTTCTTGATTACCGGTAAAAGGTCTGATGAGTTGGCGTAATGGAACGTGGCGACTGGTTGAGCACTCCAGCCACCTGGAGCAGTGGGGTCTTCCACCAGACCAATAACGGTGAAGTTACCTTCCGCATCACCAGCCGTATCCATGTAGACCTGGTAAGCAAAGATGAATATCAACACCAATATTTAAATTCACTAAAGACAGATTTTATGCATAAGTCATTGGCATGTATACCTATATTCCACTGAAGGGAGGTAATTTTTAATAATAAAAACTGGAAACTCCATTGTTAATAATAATGCCAGATCGAATTGCATGCAAGCCCTCCTAGAAATCATTTTGCCTAATTTTTGGGAAAATAAAAAAAATAAAATAATTATCAAAATTAAAAATGCACCAACTGACCAAAGAGCTTACCTAAACACAAATTAATGTTAAATTAACCGTTTAAAAATATTACAAATATTAAAATATCGTTGTTTTGAATAATTTATAGTAGGATTTACAACGAATGAAATATTAAGCTCTGTTTACGGGCCCCATTTCAGTACGAACAAAAACACGAAATTAAACCGGAAATCCAGAATTTTATTTCATGGTGTATACCCAGGTGTATATTGGATATGGGGGTATTCCCAGACATCATGCGCACTCTACCATTATTTAGCGATTCCCCGCCATCGTAAACTCTGTTCTGTATGTAATAAAAAACCAGTTTGACTGATATTTATGACATGAAATAACCGTGCTTACATAATTAGGTTTTAATTTAAAAGAACCCCATTGTTAAACTTGTAATACTATCGATGATGTGCATCATATTCTATTAAAAATTCATAATAACACGAAGGAAAGAGAAGAATTCATGCGCCACTTTAACTTAAATAAATTTAATATTGGTCTTATTCACTCTATGTTAGCTGAACTTAAACCAGAAATTTTTGAACATCTCTGTAAATTATTGATGCCCATTAATTCTTCTCTTTCCGCATCTAGGGGTTTTGTTTGAGAAATCAGTTCAGGGTACAAAAGGACTGATATACCTGAAGAAGGTAAAAGCCCTTAATATAATATAAAAAAAAAAATTAAAAGAATATAATATATGGCAGGGAAATTACAGGGCACGTAGGTTAGTTCTCTGAAATAACAACGTATGATATGAATGGTACTGAGACTCCATAATGCCGCTCATGTCTATTGACGATGGTTACCACTTCCCATCCGGTAAGCTAACATATTAAGAAAAGTTCAAAATCATTATTACAGACTCGAAGTGTAGAGGCGGTCGTATCGTATATTCACTACACAATGGTAATTGTCGATGAAATTGCTCTGACGCCATCTGGGATTGCATTCATGTGTTAATGAGGATAAATTATTTTCACAATAAATAAGGTTTATTTCCGTATTGGTGCTATAATAATTTTGTTACGTACGACTGAAGCTACTTTTTAATAAACAAAGTCCTGTTTTACCATAAACAAACAATTCGACGCGTTCTACATTCAAATATTCTTTAAAACTGCCATCTCTTCTCCTTAAGTGAGGAGATGTGAGTTTTGTTAAAAAAAAATATTACTAAAAAACTATCAGAATTGAAGTTTCGTTTTTTATTATGAAATTAAATCTAATTTTCTCCTATAACAATAGAAAATGTAATTTAAATCTACATAATATTCCCGTGGCCAGTATAATATTTTTATTCAGCTGTCATTTTTGTTTTGTTCTAAATGATTTTTTTATACCACTGAGATTGCAAACAAACCCACCTGATGGTAAGTAGTTACCGTAGCCTATGAACACCTGCAATACTAAAGGCATTGATATCTTTACTAGCTGTATTCTGCAACTTCGCTCGCGTCAATCAGTACATTAAATATCCTATGTACTAAAACAGAATATAACCTACCCATATAGCAAATTTCATTCATAACCCACCAGTAGTTTATGCGTGAAAGAGTAATAAGCATCAATTTATTCATTCATCCATCCATCTGTCATTACAAACTTTCATATTTATACATATAAAGGACGTAATCTACAAAAATAAATATGTACCTTACTAATATATTAAAATTCAAACAAGGGAATACATGAAAGGCATTAAAAATATAACATAATAAGAATTGAAACAAAAACAAAAAAAATTTAAAACTTTAGCTATTTATCTATTTGTTTTGGCAACAATAATTTTTAGTAATCTATTTGTATGTTTGCATCGGCATCATGCAATAACTGCTGTATCAAATTAGATGCGATCTCACTTGTGGTTGTGTTCCTGAAGATGTAACTTAAAATCAGACACTATACGTTCCATCTTGATATGATCCAAAATTTGTTTATTTCGTTGAATTTTCTACTTCTAAAATCCACGCATACGAAGTAATATCCTTAGGCTAGTTGAAATAAAAATGTGAAATAATGAGCCAAGATTAAACACAACTGGCTGTATAAATTGCTTGAAGAATTAATAAAGTTTGGATATCTTTTTTGATTGGATTTAAGCTATCTATAATATTCTTATATAAAATGTATAATGTCAATAACATATAATGTCAAGTAATAGGTTTACTAAGTAATTTAGGTCGCTTGTTTCATTATAATTTTCTGTATCCAGTTGTTGTCCCAGACATGTTAATAATTCCCGCAAAATACAAGGATTTTAGACACGTGAGTATTTCTGTGCTTAGTTCATTTATATTATAGAAGCTATAGCAATGCATATGTATACAAATCTGATGTCTAGTATAAATAGATCACAACAATTTCTGCTTAATTTTTAACTAGGCGCTTATTCTTTTAATGATTTAACCGATTGTCATAAGATTTTGTATGCACGTAATATATAAAATGAAGCGCCGGTAGCACACCTGCAATGCTATTGGTGTTGTGGGTGATCATGGGCGGCGGTAGTCACTTACCATCAGGTGAGCTTTATGCGCATTTGCCCCCTGTGTTGTAAAAAAAAAAACACAAAAAAAAGACTACATAGGCTTCTTTTATTCTAACCAACTAAATCGAGATTAAGTGGACGAAATCGCATGTGATTACTAGTTTATTATAATCAGCCGGCTTCAAAAAGAAGGACACTCTCACTCAGAATTCATTTTTTATCACCGTTCATTTATTCATAGTCATTTATACACCGATTTGGAATATTCTTGTTTTTACCTGAAAGATATCCTTTCATGTAAAAACAACACTTATAAATAAGTTCTATAGAAATTTTCTCAAAATCAGTTTGTTACTACGTACTATCCACGAGTCGTTAATATCTTTGATATTCCAAGTCAAATACAAAAATTCATTCTAAATAGAATACCAAGCATTTGTTATCCTATTATAATAAATATAAATGCGAAATTTTGTAAAAATAGATGAATGGATAATTAATTCTTTTTTTTTTAACAATAATAATAAATCTATATTTTACTCTTCGTTACAATATAGTTTGAAGTCCCTAACTCCAAAGGTAGGTATGAAAAAAAACCTGTGTTTCAGGAGTTATTGCCCTCTTCCACATGTTGTTGAATTGATACTCTTTAACATAAAGAACTACTAAAAAAATTTGGTACGCGTGTAGGTTATACCCTAACAGCACATAGAATAGTTTATATACTGATTAATGCAGGTGAAACCGTGGGATCAATATATATGATCCTAAATCCTATTCTAAATCTCCACTTCTTTACTATCTCCGTTCGCTACCATTTTAAATTTATATAAATTATTGTAGTCAGCAAGTTTTTATAGTCTTGGCTGATACACTACCGCATCTAGTTGAAAAAAATAGCTATTGCAGCAATAAAATAAAATGACGCCCTCGGCTGTGTTCGCATATTCGTTTTTACACCAGGGGACTTATCCATCGTAGGATGAAACAAAAGTAAACAGTTTTATCAGGTGCGTAATAACAGTTGTTTCCCGCGGCTATGCCCGCCGAACTTTTTATTATTATTTCTACAACTTGTGAGAATTTATTTAAACAAAACAGCCTATTGTAGCTTACTTAATTTGTTATTTTTCGTTAATTAGCTTTTAATTTTTTTCACTATTTAAGTGTACTTCTTAGAGAGTAAAGTAGTAAAGAGGTTTCTTTAGGGTCGGCAACGCACGCGTAATACCTCTGGTATTGCAGGTGTTCATAGGCTACGGTAACCACTTACCATCAGGTGGGCCGTATGCTTGCACTGTTGCAGGTTTTTTTATGGGTGAAAAAAAAAGTTAACCTTATCTTTTCCTTAATTTGAAAGAATATAATTGATCTGTAGTTTTTATATACGAGTATGTGTTTACTTTCGTATTAATAACATCTTAGTTTTGCTAGAATAAACATCGTGAAACAAAATCTATTTGTTAGAAATGGGATTTTCTAGAAAAATATAAACAGTATTTAAAAATATTTTCATTTTTATATAATATAAAAATATTCCATCAGATTGAACTATTTAATTTTATTTATTCATTTTAAATTACTTGGATCCATTTTTATTAGTAAATGATCCAGTCCTCTCGACAAGCATTCTTCATAACTATCACAAGATAAATGTTCGAATCTTTTTGTCGTATTTGATTTATAAAACTATACAATTATAAATATTGTAAGGGTGGATTTATTCCTGAAAGATATCTCTTCCAGTTTAATCCAATACACTTGGAAAGCATGTGGTAAGCAGATAGCTAAAGCTGAACTATCATAATGCGAGTACATTCTACAGCATGGGTAATTTTTTTGTTTCATGTTTTTTTTTTATACTACTTAGATTGGCAAACAAGCTGACGGCCCACCTGATGGAAACTGTAAATGGTAACTGTAGCCTATAGATATGAGCAGTATCATGGACATAACAGAGTATACTGTTTCGCTCATGATACCCCCCATGTGTTGTCATTCCTGAAGACTCAGGTGTTAGGTATGGTTAACGACTTCAAAACCGCCATATATAATATATACCGCTAGCTTCACTATTAATAATATATCCTGTCAGATCGGCCTCCACTCTCTACTCACTCTATTTCCTCGTGCAAATCATTTTGGTTACTTCTTGATGAATTCATCATGATGGGCTAATAGATCTACTTTATTCCTCATCAAATCATCCCACTGGCACCCCTCCAGCATGTATCGATAGCGCAGGCGAAATAACCATTT